GGCTTGGCTTGCTTTGGTAGGATGTTTATGAGATGTTTCAAGTGTTGAAACACAAAACGCACGAGCAAAAAATGAATTGGCTAGGATTTTGCAGAAGTTCTGAGTTTGGGCAGAAATTTGGTGTTTTTGTGTTTGAGAGAGTTTCAAATGTCAAGCAATCATGCTAAGCCTTGCCACAACTTTGTATATTTGTATATAAATGATACCAAGTCCACTCTTCACTAGCTGTGCAAGCTTTTCACCTTTTGGCAACTTTTCTTGTATTTGAAGAAAAGTGAAGTGACCATACTAACAGGCATGTCCTTGCTTGCTTGAGAGCTGAAATGCACTTATACAATTTGCTTGAGACCTGTGGAAGTTGTTTGCACCAAAGGGACAGGTCCAAGGCTCAAGAATGACAAAGTTTCAAAAGTTTCCCGTTATGAAAATGATATTGTGCACTTTTGACCAAAAATGGAAATGTATCTTGTACAAAGCTTCAAAAGCAAAGATATAGCCTTTAACTTCTGAGTTTGCATTTAATTATGGAGTGTAGAGTGAGTTTAGGACCTGTAAAGCAAGATTCAAACATCATATATGTGATTTGCAACTTGATGCTTTGTGAAAATGGCATGAACAAAAGTGAGAAAATGCTAATTTCTCTTCTTCGATTCTCCCTAACCACAAATGATCTTGGAGAGTTCTTGGACATTTTAGAAAGCTTGCAATGTGCTCTATAATCTATCTTTGAAATGCAATTTGAGATACATCTTAGAACTAGGTAAAAAATGTCCATGAAGTTGGGTCAAAAACCTGCCTAAATTAGGGCAAAATTTCACTAAGTTATTTAGTTCATGGACCTATATTCACAAATTCATAACTTGATATGCAAGCATCTTTTGGGAAAAGTTTGTGAAGAAAAGTTGTAGATTTCATGTAGGACTACAACTTTCATGTTGGGAACTTTTCTTGAATCAAAATGTATCATGGTGAAAAGTGGTGAAAAGTTGGGAAAAAATAAGAAAATTTCCATACTTAGAAAAATTCTAAGTTATGAAAATTTTCAAATTCAAAACCCTAATTTTCCAAATTGATTTTCTTGGTGAACAAGTTTCATTTTTTGACATATCTTGATGAATTATGACCCTTGGTACTTGATTTTGACCAAAAAGTCAAAGTTTGACTTTTCAGTGTACAGTTGACTTTTGATTAGTTTACTAAAAAATTCATCTGTCAATCCAATGAACTTGAGATCTTTTGAACCATGTAATTAGGTCAAAATGATGCCATTGAGTCCTTGAAATCATGCTTGAACTCAATTGGTCATTGTCTAGGTTAAAAATCAGAAATTTCCCTTTCTCAATCAAAACCCTAATTTTGACCATTTTGCCCTTTTGATGATTTGATCAAATTTCTTGAGGAGTTGTGATCCAAACTTGATCAAATGGTACATATGAGTCTAAAATGTTGATGTGGATAAAAAATTATGAAGTTTGATTGTAAATTGGCCATGGTTGACTTTTTCCCCAATACAGTTGATTTTTAGGTCAACTGTCCAATTGACTGATCAAAAATGTGGTTCAAGGCTTGAAACTCAACATGAGAAATCTTAGGGGTCCAAAATGGTATATGAAAGTCACATGAAGCATTGGTGGTCCAAAAATCCTTGTGCAAACTCAAACCCTAATTTTAGGTTATCAGTGCAAAATGAGGTATCTGGAGCTGACCAAACCCTAATCTTATCTTGAGTCCAAGAAGTCTTGTGAGAAAAGTCTTGATAACTGAGAGGGAAAATATTGGGGTACAATAGCTAATAATATTCGTTTATTCGGGAGTTTAACCTGGAAAGACAAAGTTAGTTTTATGCAATGTCATGATGCATGAAATTCATTACGTAATGATGCTTTCAAAATAAATGAGAATACTATATGCATTTCATATGCATATGCTATGATATTCTATAAATGTTGTATGGGTTCAATATATCGTTGGAACGTATCGGTAGATTCGTATAACATCTTTGGCTGGGGAGATAAATCCCTGACTGTTGTTGGGGATAAAGATAGTAGTTTCTGAAATTTGTTTAGAACGTATTTGCTGGGGATTCCCGCTTTCTGTTTAAGGACACTCCGCTGGGGATGTTCGACTTCTGCTTGGGGATAGAAGAATTCTAGGAAAATTGGTCGTTCATCATTCTTTTGAAGGATTTGATTCTTATGTACCCTGAATGGGGACAAAAGAGATGGATAATCCTCTGATGTGTTGTCTAACCAAGTTTCAAATAAGGATGTCAACGCTTCTGGGGAGGACAAAGTTGAATGACATCTGGTCGGGGAAGAGAATCCTGTCGGGGAATTACAATATCAGAGAAATAAACTTTGTTGGGGAAATAAACCATGTAGGTTGTATTGAGGAAATAACCTCTGATGGGGATCGGGATTTCATAGGCTGCACCGAGGAAGTTTCCACCGTATACTGGGGAAATGATCAAATTTCCTTATCCGCTAGGGGACTTATTAGGGAAGATGATCATATCGAGCTATCCATCAAGGATATAGAGGTGAACCGCTGGAATATCCCCTTATTTCTGTCTGATGGCATATTAGATTTTCTGGGGAATATATCTCTGTTGGGGATGAACTTGTGAAGATAGCTCTGTAGAGATAGTTCCGTGGAGATTGCTCTGTGGAGATTTATGGATGACTTGAAAATTATCCCAACTCCTAGGGTCTTTAGTAAATGTTAATCTTATTTTTATGCATATATTTTGTTAACAGTAATCATGTTCAAATGCATATGTTTATTCAATGTAATCATTGGACGTTTTTGCAAACAAAACAGAGAAAGTAAAACAATTTTGAATTTTGAAATCTAATTGCATTGATTCTGAAAGTTTGCTTATAAGCAGGCAATTTTATACAAAGAGACAGAAATCCTAGTAAGAGAAAATCGTCGTAAGAATGAAGAAAGGCTACAAAGAAAAACATGGAAAAACAGCTATGTGGAAACTATCTCATCAAGTTTCAACTCTGCTATTGCCCCTATGTCTTCAAGCATCTCATCACTTGTTGTTGGAAGAAGATGATTGAATTGTTCTGTACCGTTTGAACTTGACACTAGTAATGAAGTTAGTTGTAAGTAGATGGGTGATCCAACGGGACATAGTCGTACATTTTAATCCCTAACTTTTGCCTGGACCGCCCTTTCTGGTTTTCAGTCCATCGAGATATCCTTTTTTTCTCAAGCCGCCTTTTCAGGTTTTCGACTTGCCGAATGTACAATTTTATATATATATCCCTAATTTTTTTCCCGAACTCTTTTGGTTCATCGGGATGCCCTTACTTTTGCCTAGACCTATCAACCTAGCGGGTCTCTTTTATGCGTATTATTTTTTGACTATGTCCGTGTTCACATGGTGTGGAAAATATTCACCGTCCATGATAGTAAGTATCATAGCACCACCAAAAAATATCTTTTTGATCACAAATGGCCCTTCGTATGTGGGAGTCCATTTTCCCCTAGGATCATTTTGTGGTAGGATAATGTGCTTATTACCAAATCACCAGTCTGATATACCCGATGTTTGACTTTCCTGTTAAAGGCTTTAATTATGAAATTCTAATACATCTGACCATGACAAATAGCCGCAAACCTTTTTTCATCGATCAAATTTATTTGGTCCAATCGAGTCTGGAGTTATTCGTCTTCATCTAAACCCGCGTCTTTCATAATCCTTAGGGAAGGAATATGGACTTTAATAGGTAAGACAACCTCCATACCGTAGACTAGAGAGAACGAGGTTGCTCTAGTTGATGTACATACTGAAGTGCGATAACCATGAAGAGCAAATGGTAACATCTCATGCCAATCTTTGTATGTCACTGTCATCTTCTGCAAGATCTTCTTGATATTCTTGTTGGCAGCTTCCACTACGCCATTTATCATTGGTCGTTCGGAGAAGAATTGTGATGCTTAATCCTGAACTGCGTGCAGAGTTCTGTGATCATAGTATTGTTAAGATTGGTATCATTATCTGTGATGATCCTTTTAGGGATTCCATACCAACAGATAAGGTTGTATTTAGTGAACTGAGCCACAACATTCTTAGTAACGGAAGCAAACGAGGTTGCTTCAACCCACTTCGTGAAGTAATCAATAGCGACCAGGATGAAATGATGCCCATTGGAAGCAGTATGCTTAATCTCTCCAATCATATCAATGCCTCACATTGCAAACGGCCAAGGAGCAGTCAAGACATTAAGAGGAACCAGAGGCACATGTACTTTGTCAGTATAAATCTAGCATTTGTGGCAAGTTCTGGAATAATGATAGTAGACCAATAATATCCCGCTCTCAGAATCTTCTTAGCCATTGTATGCCCATTGGAGTGAGTACCAAAGACTCCTTCGTGTATATCTTCCATAATTTTCTCAGCTTCCTTCTTGTCTATACAATGAAGCAAAGTCAAATCGTGGTTGTGCTTGTACAGGATTTCGTTACTCAGAAAGAACTTGGTAGAGAATCTCCTTAGAAATTTCTTATCATTGATAGACGCTCCTACCGGATATTCTCGAGGTATCTTTTTACTTCGTGGTACCAAGGCTTTTCCTCTACTCCATCAGTATCAACTTCGTAGCAATGCGCCGACTCGTCTAGTCTCTCAATAGTAGATCGAGGAGCTTCATTATCCCATATGACTTTGAACATAGATGACATGGTAGCTAATGAGTCTGTCAATTAATTCTCTTCTCGTGGAATATGTCCAAAAGTGATTTCCTCGAAGTACGAAATTAACGTCAAGACATGCTCTCGATAAGGAATGAGATTTGGATGCTTCGTATCTCATTCTCTCTTAATCTAACTGATCACTAGGGCTGAATCCCCATATACATTCAAGAATTTAATTCTCATATTAATGGCAGCTTTGACACCCATGATACATGCTCTGTACTCGGCCATGTTATTGGTACATTCAAAACACAACCTGGCGGTGAAGGGCGTATGGAAACCCCTAAGAGAGATAATCACAATAGCGATTCCATTACCAAGTTCATTGGAAGCTCCATCAAAAACCATAGTCCATTGGAATCCTGATTCAGGTCCTTCATATGGTCCAAGTTCTTCATAATCAGTAACTAGTATAATATTCTCATCTGGGAACTCAAAATTAATAGACTGATAGTCATCTACAGCTTGATGAGCCAAATGATCTGCCAGTACACTTTGTTTGATTGCCTTCTGGGTAGTATACCGAATGTCATATTCTGTCAAGACCATTTTCCATCTTGCTATTCTTCCAGAGAGAGCAGGTTTCTCGAATATGTATTTTATTGGATCCATCTTAGAGATCAACAAAGTAGTATGAGTTAACATATACTGTCTTAGTCGACGAGCAGCCCATGCCAAAGCGCAACAAGTTTTCTCGAGAAGTAAGTATCTTGTTTTGCAGTCGGTAAACCTTTTACTAAGGTAGTATATTGCATGCTCTTTTCAACCATACTCGTCATGTTGCCCCAATACACACCCCATTGAGTTCTCTAATACTGTCAGGTACATGATTATAAGTTTCCTTCAACTGGTGGCATCATAATTGGAGGTTCCTAGAGGTTCTCCTTGATTTTATCGAAGGCTATTTGACAATCATCGTTCCACTTCACTACTTGATCCTTTTTTAGTAACTTGAAGATTGGCTCACAGGTAGCGGTCAAATGGGAAATAAATCTAGCAATATAGTTCAATCGTCCCAAGAAGCCTCTGACTTCCTTCTCCATATAAGGAGATGGCATTTCTTGGATGGCTTTAACCTTGGCAGGATCAACTACAATACCTTTACCACTGACGACGAAACCTAGGAGTTTACCAGATCTTAAAGGTGCACTTGTTTGGATTCAACCTCAACTTGTATTTCTTTAATCTCTCAAACAACTTGTGCAGGTGGTCGAGATGTTCTTCTTCAGTCTGAGATCTGGCTATCATGTCATCAACGTAAACCTCTAACCTCTATCTCACGATGGATCATATCATGGAACAGAGCTACCATATCGCGCTGATATATTGCACCAACGTTCTTCAAACTAAAAGATATAACTTTGTAATAAAAAGTGCCCCACCGTGTGACAAAAGTAGCCTTCTCCATGTCTTCAGGTGCCATCTTGATTTAATTATAACCAGAGAAACCATCCATGAAGGAAAATACTTTATGTTAAGTGGTGTTGTCAACCAGAACATCAATACACGGAAGCGGAAATTCATCTTTGGGGCTCGCCTTGTTCAAATCCATGTAGTCTATACACATACGCACCTTGCCATCCTTCTTAGGTACCGGAACCACATTTGGAACCCACTGAGGATAGGACGTAACAGCTAAGAAACATGCATTGAACTGCTTCATAACCTCAACTTTGATCTTTTCTGACGTCTCGGGACGCATACGAGGAACCTTCTGTTTTGTAGGAGGACAAGCTTCCTTCATTGGTAGATGGTGGACCACAACGTCAGTATCAAGCCTTGGCATGTCTTCGCACGACCAAGCAAAGATCTCAACATAGTCACATAACATCTGGATTAATCTCTTTTTGACACTGTCTTCTAGGTTGGCACCTATCTTGACTTCTTTCTTGTCCTCTTCAGTATCCAAGTTCACTACCTCGACTGGATCTTCATGCAGTTGTATGGCTCTTTCTTCCTGCATTAACAACCTAGCAAGCTCTCCAGGTACTTCACAATCTTCCTCACCTTTGTCCTCAGCTTGGTAGATCGGATTTTCGAAGTCATAATTGGCAATAACAGAATTGTTATCAATGGGATCTAGGGTGGATATGGATATGCAATTTGTTGTGTGGGTATGTGTAAGAACACATAGCTATTTTGAAAGCAATAAAGTAAAAGAAAGACAAAGAGCCCAAAATTTAAATGCAAACGTCCAATGATTTATTAAATGATAATATGCGGATGAAAAATGACAATCCTAACAAATGGATTGTTGTGCCCCTGGTAAGGCATAAGGTTTAAAGTTATTGTTTAAATTACATAACCAAAAACTTGAAAGCAAGAAAACATAAAATAGCATTTACTCCTGACTAAAGGAGATTGGTATAAATTCTTCAACCTTCCAATTGTTGAGCCCATTACCGGTAGTAGGGAAAATCCAACTGTCTATGTCATAGTCGCTATTAGCGTCTTCCATAGTGTTGACTTGATTTTTGTGAACTCCATTGTTGTTGATGTGGAATAACAGTCAACCAGAATTAGCACAAGCACAGTGGACAACCCTCTGAGCCACTGAGGTGAATCCCAAACCAAATTTATCAGACTTGTAAAGGATGTTGGGAAGCTGACCCAAACAGTGCCACCACCTTCTTCTACCACAGCCTTAATGTCTTTTAGAGAATCCATTCTTGGTGGAATCATGGTAACCTTAGGAACGACATGAGTAGCTTTGTTAACAGGGGTTGTCTGAGGAATAACTTCAAAGGTCTGGCAAGGAGTCTCGAAGAATTCACCATCCATCTCAACATACTTGAAGGAATTCAAATGGCTCACCATGTATTCTTCTTTGCTGCAAACTGTAACGATTTTTCCTTTCACTGGATACTTAAGTTTTTGGTGTAAAGTAGAAGTAACAGTGCCTGCTCCATGAATCCAAGGGTGTCCAAGCAAATATGAATAGGCTGGACGAATATCCATCACATAGAAAGTAGAGTAGAAGACTTGAGAATCCACTTTGATTGGAAGATCAACCTCTCCATGCACCATTCTCTTTGAACCATGAAAAGCTCTTACCATAATGTCACTGGATCTTAGCACAATCCCTTCATAGGTTTGTCTAAAGCGGCTTTTGGCAATACATTCAATGAGGAACATGTGTCCACCAATATATGGGATAAGGTAGTACCCCTAAACTCAATAGAGACATGCAGGGCCTTATTATGGTTCCTTCCTGTACAAGTTAAGTCAGCGTCAGAAAAGCCTAGCCCATTATCGGTTGTCAGGCTAGCAACACAATTTTCGAACTGATCAACAAAGATTTCATGTGGTACATGAGCAGATTTCAAAAACTTTACCAGAGCCTGAGCATGGACTTCAGAGCACAACAACAGAGATATCATAGATATTTTGTAGCGGGTCTGTCCCAACTGTTCAACAATCTTATAGTCACTCTTTCGAATAATTTTCAAGACTTCTTCCATCTCTTGCTTGAAGGTATCTTCAACAGTAACCTCTTTCGATGCTTCAGTCTGGGTAGGCTCAGTCGTATGTTCTTTGCCTCGAGTTTCAATAGTTGATTCAGTGGTAGTGATATGAACAGGTGTAGTAACGGATTTTGGAGAGATCTCTGGAGAGAAAACCCTTCCACTTCTGGTAACTTTACTAGTCCCAACAATATTGCCAACATTGGGATTAGTAATTTCAGTATTTTTTATCTTCGACAGTCAACGGTTCTTGATTGACGCCATGGTAGTAAACATCAGCTCCATAATTCCAAGGGATAAACTTATTAGAGGAATATGGATTTGGCCCAGACGCGGTAATGATCAGAGGAGTAACCCTAGGTTCGACAATAATCTTCACATAAACCTTAGAAGTGATCCTTACGGGAGTACCGAAAATTGCAGACATGTCTTCAAGCTTCGGGTCTTGAGATATACTCTCCACAAAAGGAGTATTCTCGAATAGAATTACACGGTCATCCATCAAAAACTGAACACCTTCTTTCAGCAGTGCACAACCATTGAATTGTGATGCACAATAATAGAACCTTTCAATGCAACCTGGAAATAAATCGGCTTGCAGTAGCTTCTTCTTAACAATCATCAGGGGAGTAGTCAAGTCATTCACAACAGAAACATAAGAAACATCATCAATAGCAGTAATGCCCTTGTCGTGATTAGGCATAGGTGCAATGATCATATTAGGAGTCTCATGAGGATCAAATTTAATCTCCTTAGCGTCAATCATGTCTTGTATCTTATTCTTCAGAGCCCAACAGTTGCTAGTGTCATGTCCGAGACTATTGGAGTGATATGCACACCTTACTTTGGGATTGTAATTGGGAGAGGAAGTATTAGGATTCTGAGGAGGATCCTTCAATGTAATCAACTCTGCCTTTAACATGTGTTGCAACGCTTGAAACAACGGTATGTTGATTTTTGTGAACTGTCTCCTGGGTGCATCCTGCCTACACTGATTACTCTATTGTTGTTGTTTTGATACTAGCGCGGGATTGGAGATCAAAAATGCCTCCACAGATTGGTTACGGATACTCTTACTACGACCCATCTGGTTTTACACAACATTTGATTTTTTCTTACCATTATAAGACTTCTTCACAGTATTCAGAGATGTAGCCACCTGAATTTTACCGCTTCTGATTCCATTCTCAACACGTTCTCCTGTTAATATCAGTTCAATGAAATCGGCTGAAGAACTTCTAAGTAGGTGATTATAGAAAGAACCTGTTAGCATGCTCATGAACATGTCAACCAATTCCCTATCAGCCAAAGGAGGTTGAACTCTGCCTGCAAGATCTCTTCATTTCTGTGTGTACTCTTTAAAGCCTTCCTCAGAATCCATGGGCATACTCTGTAGTTGCATGCGGGTTGGTGCCAAATTAGAATTATATTGATATTATTTATAGAAAGTTGCAGCCAAATCTTCCCATGTATGGATATTGATACCTTCAAGTTGATAATACCATTCTAGTTGTGTTCCAGACAGACTCTCTTGAAAGAAATGCAACCATAATTTCTTGTCAGCAATGTGTGGTTGAATTTTCCAAACATATAATCTCAAATGAAGCTTAGGGAAAGAAATGCCATCATACTTGGCAAAGGTAGGAGTTTTGAACTTAGGAGGAATGACGACTCCTGAGACTAAACCCAATTCTTCAAAGTTCAAACCAGGCACCTTCTGAATCTCCATAGCTTTTAGATGCTCTTCTAACAACTTATACTTCTCGTCAGCAGGGGGATATTGTTCATCCAAATAATCCTCTTCCTCTTCATCAGGATACTTGTCAGAACCAAGGTTGTTTCTTTCAGTTTTAACACTTTTACCATCTTCATCCTGGTTGTCATCTTCGTCCGATGGGATATCAAGATCTTGAGCTCACTTGGCTGGACCTCTGAACCTCCTTCCCATGTTAAGGACTTTGATTGGTTTCTTTGTCTTCTTCTTCTTCCCATTTGCGATGAGCTCCTTCAGTTCTTCTTTCCCATTGCCTAAGTTTAGGAACATCTGTTGGAACTGGGCATTCTGAGCCTAGAGATCTTTGACTGTCTGTTCAAGAGCCATTTTCTGCTTAAATAAACAGCAAGAAGATAAGAAAACTTGTCTTAGAAACCTGTTATGTAATGATATGTATGGTATGTAGATGCATATGCAATGTTTTTAGGGACCTCGTGGGATTTAAATTTGTTAATAAAAGGAAACAACAACAAAGATTCTTGTTATTAAGTGCAGATTATAAACACCTTTTAGGCTTACAATGAAAATAAAAAGAAGGGTTACAAAGGAATTAATTATGACTCAAGTCTCCCATGGGCGCTTCCTCTTTGTGTTGACATATGCATTAAGGCTCTGCTCTTCGTGAAGGCATTTGGTCAGATCTAATACTTTCTTCTCACTAGCATATAATTGAGTCTCAAAGGCGTCCCTTTCTTCTTTCAGTTGAATCCAAGACTTTTGTAGCTCTTCAATGTCAGTAGGCATATCTGGATGAAGAACGATATGAGGAATATCTCCTTCAGCAACAAGCTCTACAATTACTAGTAGGACAGCGGGATGTGGCATTATAAGATTTTGAGCACGAGATCATATCCATCTAAGGTAGGGATCCAGAGGGATGGAGTTTTTCTGTCCCAAAGTCTTGCCATCAATCTTATTCACCATGCCCCAAGCACGTATAAACCTTTAACGGTAACCTTGAGGATCATTCTCGTAATCGAATACATTATCCTGGATGAGCATATCATGAGGATCGTCTCTTCGAGCATAACCAAATTGAAGTAGAGCTAGGGAATGGTTGTGAGTGATATATCCCCTTATGCCAAGGAGTGGCGCATTATGGAATTCCCCACAGCGGTCAATAATTATGATATCCTCCTGAGATCGGGAACACTAATAAATATCTGAATGAGAGAGTGGCACCATCCTTTGAGACCACCTCAAACCTTGTTCATTCTTCATCACTAATCGGGGATGGTGCGAAATAAACCACTTGGATAGTAAAGGTATGCAATACATAAGAGTCCCTCGTTTCCTCATAGTAAGAGTGTGAAGAGAATGCAAATATCTCCAAGCAAGTAGGCACAGGATTATGAGTAATAAATATTTTGATGGCGCTCACATCTATGAGTTGGTCTGGATTAGGGAATAGTATTAAACCATAGATCAACAGAGCGAAGATCTCCTCGAAAGCATGAAAACTCATAGCATCCAGAAACAACTGAGCCTTCTCTATCATAAATTTAGCAAGAAGGTCCTTGACTCCACTTCTTATTTCCCAATTAGATACAATGTCGGACCACTTCAGATGTAAGGTTGTTGCAATAACTTCAGGTTTTGGAACTTTCTCTAAATATGTGAAGGGTGTCTGATCAAGAATAGGTACTCCGAGTAGCTTAGAGAACTCTTCCATTGCGGGTACCAACTGATAATCTGGAAAGGTTAAAGAGTGATGCTCAGGATCAAAGAACTGGAACGGAACACTCATCATGTCTTCTTCAAAACCTGAGGTAACCAAACTGAGTAGATAACCATGCCTTTTAGTGAATTGAGAGTTTTCGGGAACCTTTGAGGCTAACTCCTTAAGCTGGAAGTTACCCTTACAAAGTTGATCCAGATAGTGTTTCTGCGAGTGGAGGCCATAATCTACAACAATTAACAAAGATAAATCCCTAGGTCCTTGAAATAGTTAGTGAAAATGTTATGTTATGATAATATGATGTTATGATGTCATGTTCATGTTAGATAAGTAGAAAACACACACAAGTCACACAAGAGCCTTAGGTTTAAAGGCTTGCATGAAGTCCATAGGTAAGTACCCTTCCCCATTGAAGTCAAGTTGGCTTAACCTGTCCTAAAATGGTAATCGGGTTCTAGGAATCTCATATCACCGATCTTTCTCGTAGGCTTTATTTTAACACGGAAACTGGCTTGCCACCAAAAAATTCTGAAAGTCAAATCTCAATGAGCGTAGTTTCGAGTATCAACCAACCTTGGACTGCACCAAAGCCGGCTATCTCACTACCTTCTAATGGCCAAGATGGGTCAATTAAGGTTCTAAAAGTAAGTTAGTGTTAACGATACCATGCGGAAGCCTAATGTTATCCTTGACTGACTCAAGGAACATCAGTACAAACTAAAGTGTCACACTAACTGTAGCCATCATGTTAACCATATCGATCTATGTCGTACACCCTTTATTATCTATTGATACTTACCTAAGGCATCCCTAGATCCGGGTGTAGGATCTTACAATAAATTAAACCCAAATAAAATCTTAAAGTAAAGAAAGAAAAGCATATAATTAAAATCAAGTAAAGTGATATTAAACTCTAAGGCAACCCCTCTTTTTTAAGTAGTACTCCCCAGCAGAGTCTCTAGTTCTGTAATACAATAGAAGAACTGACTTTTTGGTTTTATCCAAATATACGGATAGCTAGAGTCGCCATCAACTTTTCTTTTATCCAATATTTAGGAAAGGTGAAAAGAACAGGAAAGACCTTTGATAGATTTTGAGTTCATGGGGTAAGTTATAAAAAGGGAAGGTGTTAGCACCCTTTTCATCCGTAACTATCTACGGACACTTAATTGCTTAGCTCACTTTTGAAAATATTGCTTTGTGCGTGTGCTTTGTTTGAAAATATTTTGAAATTGCCAATGTAAGGCTAACTTTGTAATGATTCTTGTATCAGTCCTCAAGAATGTATACAAAGTGTTATTTTAAAAAATATTTGTTTGAAAGTGTAGTGTGAAAAAAAATTTGATTAAATTTGTGAGCAAGCAATTAAGAGTTTCTTACCCACTAAAGTCTTTCTTATTCTTTTCCTCCTCCTTTAGAGATAGTACTATCCATACCATTAGTTGGTAGGTAGTCCTATCTATTGGATGTGAAGGGACAAACGTAGGGTCATCGTATGGTCATCGAAGGCAACAAGTAAGGATACTTTAGCAATTGTATCGAAGGGACTACCATCATTTTGTAGGTAACTCAAACGGACTGGATCATTTTGCAGGAAGCTCGAAGGTTTATCGAGGGATTATGATCTTTATTTGAAAGGGACATGATGATTTGATCGAGGGTATTTTGCTAAAGTATCCCCACTTTCGAGGGACGTAACCAATATTTTGTAAGGCAACAAGAGAAGATACCCTAGAGGTACAAGTGTGAAGAGTATTTGTTTTTCAGTTTACTTTATCTTGAAAATTAAGATTTTCTAGGTTCAATTATTAGTCTTGCCATACAAACCCTAATTACTAATCATAGCATAAAAATATAAGTGCGAGAATATAAATGTCCTACGCTATTACATCTTGTGAGCAGATACATAATAAGGAAAAAATATACGAAAAATAAATCTACGCTATTACAATAGAGAGTGCATCCTATACATTTTATCTATGAATTTAAATGAAAAAAGAAATAGGAAAATTCTTTAAAAAAAGGTTTAAAAGACCTAAAGTTCTAAGTATTAATATTTTGGTATTTTATGGAAAATAATTTAAGTGATAATAATTAATAAAACCTAAATTCTAATTGATTTTAATATTTAATAAAAAAAGTTGATTAATTAATTAATTAGGGTTAGAAAAGAAAAAGAAAGGAAATTAGGTTAAAAAGAAAATAGGGTAAAAAGGATTTGCATGGGGTGAGTGTTAAACCCACGCCATTGGCTTCACAAACTGCATTGCTCGCCACTAGACCAAGTGCCTGTTGGTGTTTGAAAATAGAAACTGAATAATATATATGAAACATGCACGTTAGTTTTAAAAATAACAAAAAAGTATTGCGAGATGCAGGGATCAAACCCACGCCCTTCACGTTACATGCCTCCGTCTAAACCAACTGCACTGCGCTTCAATTCTGTTATACAAGACAAACTAATAAATATATTATAAACAAGTGAACCAGAAAAGCACCGAAGCCCTATCTTCGGTCGTCTTCTCCGGCGAGGCCATTCTTCAACCTGCAAAAATAGCGTTCGTTAGAGACCAAGAAGAACCTTATCCCCCTAATTCGACCCTTGCAAATCCAATAATGGCATTCTTTTTGGCTAATTCACCTTGTACAGTGAGATAGATCAAAACAAAGCAAAATGGTGCAATAATGGTGATGGAGTATTCTGGCATCATGGGCATCATGCAAGGGATAAAACCTGCGCTATTTTGTCTCAGGAACACGTTGAAATTGTTAATTTAAATCAAAGCCTCATAAATATCAAAATATGAATTTCACAATATATGTAAAAACGACGATGTATGGAATGCAGGTTTTAGGCACCTTTGATCATCAAGAATGATTGGAACTTACTCTATGATACCTCAGGGATCGATTTGAATGGTCACCTAGCCTCGAGGTTGGCTGAAAGTTGGATTTTGAGTTCAACCTTTTCCTTGCAAATTTCAATCTAAAAACCCTTGTTTCTTAATCAATTTTTATGTTTTTTTGGTTTGAATATGTAGTGTATTTATAGGAGAAAGGATTAGGTTAAGAGGTGGGCTTGGACACCATGTGAAACATATCTTTGATTTTGTTTGAAAATAGGTTGAAATATTACAAAACCATAAAGATTTGATTCACAAATAGGTCTACACGGTTTGTAACGTGGCCTTGGGCCTCCAAAAAATTCAGATCACAAGCCCTTTATGCCTTATACATTTATTTAATATTTTTTTGATTTGATTTTGAATTTAAATGAATAAAAATAAAACTAAATGAAATAACAATTAAAATGATGCAAGAATGGACTTAGAGGTCCTCTAAGGTGTCACGAATAAGTTTAGACCTTAAAAGATAGGTCCATTAGTCCAAAAATTCAAGTTTGCTCAAATTGAACTTCATGCATTTTCTCAAAATTTTCCAACTTGCACAAATCATATCTCATTCAATTTTTATCATATGAAGGTGATCTTGGACTCTTTAGAAATCTTAAGATATCCCCTACAATATTCATATTGGTAATTTTTTCATTTGAAGACTTTAACTTGATGTAAATTGCTTTGACTAAAAGTGTCTTTTTGTTGACTTTTAAAATGACCTGTAATGTTTTGGCCCATATCTCTCAAATGAAGCATTTTTTGCCTTGAGCTTAGAGATAGAACGTTGTAGATAATTGAATTTCCTCTAAAATGAGCTTTGGCTGAGAAATTTCTGATGAAGTATGTGAAAGTTATGCTTGGTCAAAGTTTAGTTGACTTCTCCTTAAGAAAACCCTAATTTAGTAACTTTTGACTTTTGATGAATCTTAAGTTTTCTTGACGAATCATGATCAAACCTTGATCAAATGATGAATTTGACTTCAAAGTGTTGATGTTGATCAAAAATCTTGAAGTTCGACTGTAAATTGGTCAAAGTTCACTTTTTGCCCAACATAGTTTATTTTCAATCATTTGACTAATTGACTGAGCAAACTTGTGCTACAAGGCTTGGAATTTGGCATGAGGATTCTTTGAGACATATGAAAAACCATGAAATCCATTTGAGGCATTAGAAGTCAAATTTTCCTCGAGAGAAGCAAAACCTAGTTGTAGGTCAGCTACTTAGGAGGAGGGTTTGTCTGATCAATCCTTGAGTAGTCTTGAGCAATTGAGAAAACTAGGAGCACGGGGACACCTATTGAAATGATTTGTCTTGAATAATGGAAGGGAAAATTTTTGGGTACAACAATGTCACTTGTCGATCAGGTGGCTTCAAACCCAAGATGGGTGTGAGTTATGTTATTTGTTTTATGAAAACTAATTACAAAAGGTTACTTTGAGCTTTTTTAATTTTAAAAAATGAGATGAAGCACAAAACTAAGCGCGAAAGATAAAAAAATAAATTAAAGTAAATGGGAAGAGTTAGAAAGAGCATACTAAGATTTATATTGG